GGTTTCGTGCTCCGGCTTCCTCCCCACAACACAAAGCCCATGCAACATCATGCAGCCATTCCAATGCGATCTGGCACCACAGCGTCAAGAAAGGCATAGAACTACGCACACAGGAACAAGCATTGATGCAAAACACATAGAAGGAACCAAACGACCCCAGCCGCAACCGTCGCACAGACGAAGTAGCTTTCATCGCCGGCTGCAGCCACTTTACACGGAAAAACGCACGGTTTCGTGCTCCGGCTTCCTCCCCAATACAAAGCCCATGCAACAGCATGCAGCCATTCCAATGCGATTTGGCACCACAGCATCAAGAAACGCATAGACCTACGCACACAGGAACAAGCATTGTTGCAAAACACATAGAAGGAACCAAACGACCCCAGCCGCAACCGCCGCACAGACGAGGTAGCTTTCATCGCCGGCTGCAGCCACTTTACACGGAAAAACACAAGGTTTCGTGCTCCGGCTTCCTCCCCACAACATAGCCCATGCAACATTCATGCAGCCATTCCAATGCGATCTGGCACCACAGCGTCAAGAAACGCATAGAACTACGCACACAGGAACAAACATTGGTGCAAAACACATAGAAGGAACCAAACGACCCCAGCCGCAACCGCCGCACAGACGAAGTAGCTTTCATCGCCGGCTGCAGCCACTTTACACGGAAAAACACACGGTTTCGTGCTCCGGCTTCCTCCCCACAACACACGGCATGTAACATCATGCAGCCATTCCAATGCGATCTGGCACCACAGCGTGAAGAAACGCATAGAACTACGCACACAGGAACAAGCATTGTTGCAAAACACATAGAAGGAACCAAACGACCCCAGCCGCAACCGCCGCACAGACGAGGTAGCTTTCATCGCCGGCTGCAGCCACTTTACACGGAAAAACACACGGTTTCGTGCTCCGGCTTCCTCCCCAACACAAAGCCCATGCAACATCATGCAGCCATTCCAATGCGATCTGGCACCACAGCGTCAAGAAACTCATAGAACTACGCACACAGGAACAAGCATTGGTGCAAAACACATAGAAGGAACCAAACGACCCCAGCCGCAACCGCCGCACAGACGAGGTAGCTTTCATCGCCGGCTGCAGCCACTTTACACGGAAAAACACACGGTTTCGTGCTCCGGCTTCCTCCCCACAACATAGCCCATGCAACATCATGCAGTCATTCCAATGCGATCTGGCACCACAGCGTCAAGAAACGCAAAGAACTACGCACACAGGAACAAGCATTGTTGCAAAACACATAGAAGGAACCAAACGACCCCAGCCGCAACCGCCCCACAGACGAGGTAGCTTTCATCGCCGGCTGCAGCCACTTTACACGGAAAAACACACGGTTTCGTGCTCCGGCTTCCTCCCCACAACACACGGCATGTAACATCATGCAGCCATTCCAATGCGATCTGGCACCAGAGCGTCAAGAAACGCATAGAACTACGCGCACAGGAACAAGCATTGTGGCAAAACACATAGAAGGAACCAAACGACCCCAGCCGCAACCGCCGCACAGACGAGGTAGCTTTCATCGCCGGCTGCAGCCACTTTACACGGAAAAACACACGGTTTCGTGCTCCGGCTTCCTCCCCACAACACACGGCATGTAACATCATGCAGCCATTCCAATGCGATGTGGCACCACAGCGTCAAGAAACGCATAGAACTACGCACACAGGAACAAGCATTGTGGCAAAACACATAGAAGGAACCAAACGACCCCAGCCGCAACCGCCGCACAGACGAGGTAGCTTTCATCGCCGGCTGCAGCCACTTTACACGGAAAAACACACGGTTTCGTGCTCCGGCTTCCTCCCCAACACAAAGCCCATGCAACATCATGCAGCCATTCCAATGCGATCTGGCACCACAGCGTCAAGAAACGCATAGAATATCATAGAACTACGCACACAGGAACAAGCATTGTTGCAAAACACATGGAAGGAACCAAACGACCCCAGCCGCAACCGCCGCACACACGAGGTAGCTTTCATCGCTGGTTGCAGCCACTTTACACGGAAAAACACAAGGTTTCGTGCTCCGGCTTCCTCCCCAACACAAAGCCCATGCAACATCATGCAGCCATTCCAATGCGATCTGCCACCACAGCTTCAAGAAACGCATAGAACTACGCACACAGGAACAACCATGGCAAAATACATAGGAGGAACAATTCGCGACAGAAACGACCGCAGCCGCAACCGCCGCACAGACGAGGTACCTTTCATCGCCGGCTGCAGCCACTTTACACGGAAAAACACAAGGATTCGTGCTCCAGCTTCCTCCCCAACACAAAGCCGATGCAACATCATCACTTCCCTTCTTCACCACTTCCCTTCTTCACCACTTCCCTTCGTCACGACTTCCCTTCTTCACCACTTCCCTTCCTCACCACTTCCCTTCGTCACCACTCCCCTTCATCATCACTTCCCTTCTTCACCACTTCCCTTCGTCACCACTTTCCTTCTCCACCACTTCCCTTCCTCGCCACGTCCCTTCGTCACCACTCCCCTTCATCATCACTTCCCTTCTTCACCGCTTCCCTTCGTCACCACTTCCCTTCCTCACCACTTCCCTTCCTCACCACTTCCCATCGTAACCACATCCCTTCGTCACCACCCTGTGTCATAGCTTCTTATTCTTTTGTTATGTATTGTCATGTGATCTACCACCCTTCATCATAGTCAATTTCATCGCTTCTTATTCTTTTGTTATGTATTGTTAGATTATGTTTTGTTATGTGGTCTACCACCCTTCATCATAGTCAATTTCATAGCTTCTTATTCTTTTGTTATGTATTGTTGGATTACGTTTTGTTATGTGATCTACCACCCTTCATCATAGTCAATTTCATAGCTTCTTATTCTTTTGTTATGTATTGTTAGATTATGTATTGTTATGTGATCTACCACCCTTCATCATAGTCAACTTCATCGCTTCTTATTCTTTTGCTATGTATTGTTAGATTATGTATTGTTACATGATGTACCACCCTTCATCAGAGTCAATTTCATCGCTTCTTATTCTTTTGTTATGTATTGTTAGATTATGTATTGTTACATGATCTACCACCCTTCATCATAGTCAATTTCATAGCTTCTTATTCTTTTGTTATGCATTGTTAGATTATGTATTGTTAGATCACGTACCACCCTTCATCATAGTCAATTTCATCAAGTAAAAGTCATTCGTAACTCGGAAGTATTGCTTCCCAACTTCCTTTGATAATGATTGTGAAGATGCCTTAAAATATGCCTTTACTTTCCAGCTACTTGAAAGTAAAGTCCATTTTCCCTTGGCCAGTCATCCCAGATTCCGTAATCCGTTCCAAACTTTTGGGCCACGACCCCAGCTCCCCGGGAACAAGATTTGCCGCTTCAATGCCCTTCAGCCAGGCCACACAGGGAAAGCGACCAGTGGATCATTGGCTATCCTCAAGCAGTCGAAGGGGAAGCAGTCAAAGCAGTCCACCATCCAAAGCACTTGAGGCACCAAAAAAACGAAGAAAAAATAGTAATAATAATTTTAATAATACTAATAATAATAATAATGAAACAACCCCCGGCAGTCACAGCTTCAGGATGGATGATCTCACCTGAATCTTTCGCCAAGCGTCTCTGGATGGTCCTTGAGGATCCTCACAAAGTTCTCGGCTTCCGTCAGAATGTTGCTGGCGATGCGTTGGCACCTGGGTCACAGCTTTCTGCACCCAAAAAAAATAGTGCTGCAACAGTTGTGGGTTTGCCTAAAAACGGGGGGAGACCAAAAAATGGCCATCAAACAATGGGGAAAACGATGATCAACCAAGAGAGTCTCATATTTGCCGTCCCAAAATCTGCAACCAAACCCAGTTGGGCAACATGACCAAAATATCTAAAACTACCTGACCCCGGGCCTGCTCTGTTTGAGCACCAGCTTCTGGCCGTTGTCAGAAACAATCCAAATGCCTTGGTTGAGACCTCCTTTGAAGCCTCCCATCTCCTGCGAAACGTCAGGCCGTCTTAGTACGACGAGCCAACCAATTCCACTGTGGTTAACTTTAAAAAAATCCTTGCTATGTTCAGAGGGTCACCATACAAACTTCTAGGGTGTCGCAATGACATCATCATAGAGGTCTCGTGGAAACTAACGCGACGTGTGAATCGCAGCAAGAATGAGCACATCCGCACAACAACTCCACAGCTTCCAAGCTGACCTAGTTGCCTAACCATTTACTTTGACTGCAGACATCAGGAAGATTTGAGGCGAAACATGTCGGCACCCTTTCTTCCCAATTCCGGATCATTGTCTTGCATTTGCTTATATAAGTGGCCAGTGAAACATATACATATATATATATATACATATGTATATATATATATACATATGTGTGTGTCCAATAGATTTACCAAATGGTGGATCATCCAAACTCCTTAAGAGAATTCTTTGATTCGTTTAGATGATCCACCATTGGTTGATCATTCCACCATTGGTTGATCATTCCACCATTGGTTGATCATTCCACCATGGTGGGAAGCTCCAGGTTAAGGACTTTGCCCCAGCGGTTGGTACCTTGATCTGCGCCGCCTTTGTAAGGCCCAACTGCTGCAGCAGCTGCTGTCGAATGGTGCCCAAGCTGGGCTTGAAGCGATCAGCGCAGCGAATCTCCTCGGGGCACCACGGATGATCCATGGATGATCCACGGTCAACAGATTGGTTTAAGGGAAAACCTACAGGAAACCATGATCTACCAATTGTACTAGCCATCCAAGATCCATGGCAGACAAAAACTGGCAAAGAAGATGAAGGATGAAACTGAGCCGTGGGCCCCACAGAGTCTTCTGATCATCTCGGTGACTACAGGGTTGGGTGCCTGCTCAGCAGTGATGAGCCCAGGATAGCCCAGGTTCTTTTTTGCCCGCTTTTTTGTGGCAAAGTATCAGACTTGACTTTCCAAACTTTCCGAAAATTCGAAGCCATCTTGTCACATCTAGTGATATTATGTGATATTGCAACCACTGAACATCCTCTAAGTGGCTACGGCTTGGTACCCTCCCAAGTCTGAGTTCCTTCAAGCCTTGGGTGCTGCACAAACTCTCGGCGTTGACCCAGGCAAGAAGAAGCTCTTGGCTCCCGCCCTGACGGGGGTAGGTGTCCTGCAAAGCCGAATTGTCAATCACAAACCAACTGAAAATCGGTGAGAAATGCTCGACATCCTCGAGGCAATCATCTATTTTCAGTTCGAATGATTGTTGTCTCAACAATCCATTGCTGTCTTTACCAATTTAGGGAACACTTTTTATCAAGGGCACCATCATGCACCATCAACTCCAGTCTCGTCCTGGTGTTGGGACTTGGCACCTGCGGTCCAATGGGAACTGCAGCAAAGGCTTTGCAGCTCACTATGCGGCCCTGTCGAGACGTAGCGTCCGCAGGGGGGCGATCCTTGAAAACCCCATCGTTATATCAAGGTGATACAGTAGAAATCCGCACAAAATGGACGTGTGTATGTTATGTATTTTGTATATATAGTACATATATTGTTATCTATATACATATGTTCACTTGCACATACACGTATATAATGTGAATTTAATACATAATTGATTTGTCTATACCGGATCAAACCGGATACAGTATTATTGTTTAAGATCTGCATCTTTATCAGTTTTTATCTTTATGGGTTGAGTTCGCATTAGATACCCTTAGGAAGATCTAGTGTTTGCTACTTATCTTTGGAATGTGACTCTTCATGATGCTTCCAGGATTCACTAGGAAAACAACTCATGGCTAGCGTTTCAAAGTCCTCTGCTCTAGGGTTCCAACATTCTGAAGATCGGAGGCTCCAGGTTTGGGATTGGATGTCTGTAACAGTCAGATTCCAGGTTTCCAGCACTGCAAGTTCAAGAAAACGCCCTCAGTGACACAGCTTCAAAGGATGCCAGTAGTAAAGCTCAAATTTGCATGAGATATCATGAGATGATGTCTTGCCAAAGTGACCACTTTAGCCACAGAATCCACTAGGAATCATGGAGACCAGGGCCTCGCCCGTGTAACGCTTCGCCACGAACTCAGCCGCCCCGTTGCCAAAGCCCCTGGGAGTGCTGTTGTCCTGTGGTGTGCCGACGCCAACGCCGGCACCTGGCGCGTCATGGCGTGGTTCCCAGTGAGTTGGTCACCAGGCCTGGTGAGTTGCATCAGGGGTTGGTTTGCAGTTGATTTATATACATATAATACATATAATACATATATCATATATGTGTATGTAATTGTGTTTACAATTATATTATATTGTGTTTGTAATTATATTATAATGTGTTTGAAATTATATTATAATATATTATATATATTATATTGTGTTATATTATATTATACTGTATTATATTACAAAATGTTATATCATGTTATATCATATTTTATGTTATTTTATTACATTATATTATATCAAGATATCCAAATCTGCTATGCATGTATAGTCAATCTATAGCTTGTAGATGAGTGGAATATCTTTCTGGGTCAAGCCCAGGCACCTTCACTTCGGACAAGCTGAAAAGGCAATTGCACAGCAGTCGGGGGCTCCTTCAGGGCCACAGCTTTATTGGGTATACCGGTATACCGTAATACCCCTATGACTGGGATTTGGGATGTAAAATGACTCCATGGTTGGTGAATGGGATGGTTTATGGCCTTGGCTAAAACCCGCATTTGCAAAGTTTTGCATGTAGGTCTGACCAAGGTCATTACATCTACGCAGTACGCATGATGTACGCATGCGTTTTGCACACCAAACTCCAACCCTTCCCTCATTTGATACGAGGTCCGAGAGTCCGAGAGCTACTTTAGAATAAGACACTTTCAGAAAATGGAGTATACTAGGTTGATCCTTGCGAAATACTGAGTATAAAAGAATATGCGATACCATAGATAGCCCTTGAAGGCAGGTATCCTGATTTGGGTCATGGCAAAACTTGCATCCCCATACTGCCAAGCTCGCAAATTGAGCCAAGGAGCTACGTATGGCGAGAGATTCTTTGGATCTGCAGATTTCTTCACATCCAGGTCATAGTGACCATCTGAGGTGATCCCTTCGACCACAGCTACCATCTTCTGGTTCAGACTTCTGCTGTTGTAGAACCTCACATCGACTCACATCCCAAAAGTACCCAAAAAAATACCCAGAGATGCAAATCAAAGCCGTTCAGCAAATGCCACGCAACTTCAGGCACTTCCAACACTTCCAACCCTAGGACCCAAGGATCATAGTTTCAGCGCGTAAGCCTCGAAACCCAAAGTCCCAACTGCCAAGCAGCACTTTGTCTCCGACACGAAATCTGCCACCAGGACCTCGCAACGACAGAGAGTCAGGATATCAAGCCTCGACGACCCAGTCCCCTCAAAATCACACAACTGAAAAATGTCACAAGCCTCTTTGGATCGGTATGATTGGTTCCATGGATTGGTTATACAGATTGCTGTACATCGACTTGAAATTCAATACCAACTTAAAAATGCCGTTATACAAATTATACAAATTATGCCATGTAATACAGCCAACCAACAGTGTTTTTGGTCAGTGCTCAACTATGCATTGCTGGTTTGGTTTCAAAACCCTCTCCTCTGCCACCAGGGAACTGGCGTCATGCGCAGCATGCGCGGCATGCACGGCATGGCCCGGGATGGTCTGAAGGACTTTGCTTCCGATTCGGACACCATCCTGAGCTCCAACTGGGAGCTGGGCCCATGATACACCACACTAGTTTGGAATAGGGGATGGGGGATTTGGGGACAATCAAAGTTTGAGACAACCACATTCAGAATCATTTAGAATCATTTAGACCTAATAATTTTGTACATTTTTTTGCAAACATAACCCTTTGCCTCCTGAGGCCATTCCTTGAGCTGTCACAGAAACCAAGCAGATCCAAGAAGCATCGTGCATTCCCACGTCAACCTCTGTGTCAACGCGTCTGATTTCCGCGTTGTTCAGGGGAGAAGGAGCTTCAGCCAAGACCTATCGGAGTGGATGGCCATCACTTTCTGGTGGATTTGTCTCGCGCGGTCTTGTAAATCCAAGGATCAAATCATCAGCGACATTCAGTAGATGAAAAACAACAACGGGTCCAAACATCACTTTGCATGCTCCCAACACATCAGATAGTCTTACATTGTTTACATCTTCCAAACTAAATTATTGCATTCAAAGGACCAACCCCAGAATCCTATGGTGTCATCATGTTCGCCACATGCCGATGAGGCCAACCCAACCAATTTCGTCGCCTGCCCCGTCAGGGGAACGGGCTGCGAAGTTCGGCAACTCAGCAAACGGCCCTGAGGCACAGAGCTGAACCATCCCTAAGCTCTCCGAATCTCAATAGGGCTATGGATCAATACCTATAAATAGCATTTTTAGGGCGATGAACATCCATTTACCAGCTATTTTATGATGTTCACCAGGGAATACAAGGTTTTGCATGGTTTTGACCCATTTCCCAATAGAAATACTTTGAAATCTCCAACCCATCAAGATCACCAGTTGGCATCCAGGTGGGTCAACTGGTTTTGCGAACTCTCCTTAAAAAGATGGGGAAGCATCCCCATTCATCCTATGCTTCACAATTGACATCAATTGACCATATTGAACACGCACTCTTGTTGGGTTTGACCCCGCCTGACCAGTGTGGCGACTTGCCACAAACTCTGCAGCATTGGCAAACGTCCGAGGTGTGCCGCTGTGCGGCGTGCCACCTCAACTATTCTTGGAGATGCGGAACCGACAAAGATGTGGATTTAGTCGGCAAAAAAGTGAACTAACAAAAATGTGGTTTTAATTGGTAAATAGTGGCATTTAACAAACAAAAACAATAGTCTAAACATCAAAAAAGTTGATTCTGCCCACAAAAACTTGGTATTCAACCATCAGAAACGAGAGTATGGGTAGCTGGTTTTCATGTTTGTCCCCAAAAAATATGGTACAGTTTTTGATCAACACTTCGGATGCGACGAAGAAAGAAGTTATCTAGCCGTAAGCTCACCTGGCAATGGAATTTCCTCCATTTATTGTCGAATTACAATCTATATATGGCAGTGTGTCAAAACCTTGTACCCCTGGTGAACATCAAAATAGCTGGTAAATGGATGTTCATCCCACTAAAAATGGTATTAATAGGTATTGATCCATACCCATATATTTTCCCGAATGTATGACTGGATGAGAAATTCGGATCTAGGACTGCTTCGAATCCAAAGCGATTTCAAACCAAGACCTGCCGAGCAGCTATCAGCTCGCACATTCAGCGGCAACTGCGCGGCCTCGTGTTCCTCCATCAACAACCGGCAGAATGGGGATACGGTAATGCTGTAATACTGGTTAGAAAATGTTAGTAATAGTTCATACAGTAGTTGTTAATGACGCTTACAAGATGGTAATAATAGTTGCGTGCGGTTCCTGAAATGTGGGACCTCAAAATCATCCAAGCTCTTGGTGCAAGTACTTAGGTGACAACAGTGGTCCGAAATGATAAGCTTAGGGGTACTGAATTTGAGAAACACACAAATATACAAAACGGAAGTGAAATCTGGAAGGTGTGTGTGTGTGCGTGTGTGTTTTGCAAGGTCAGAGTGTATCAAATACCGCATGAATTGCGAGAAACGCAGTTCCCAAATAAGCGCGCACTATTGGAATATGGTGGAATGATGACATCTATCCCTTTCCATCCAGCAAAAGTCCTGCCAAGTGGGAGACTCCTCGGGTTGGGTGCAGGATGCAGCAGTGACTGGTCAAATCTTCTACAGTGCGCTGATATCTGGATTGCAATCAATACCTGCTAGTGTCTGACCCAAAAGTTCTAGCAACAGGGTGCCCCTGCAAGGCCCTGTTTGCCACCTTGGAGGGGTCTGGCAAGCTCACAAATTAAGCCAAGGAGCTATGTATAGCGAGAGATTCTTTGGATCTGCAGATTTCTTCACATCCAGGTCATAGTGACCATCTGAGGTGATTCGTTCGACCACCGCTACAATCTTCTGGTTCAGACTTCTGCTGTTGTAGAGCCTCAATTTCAAGAGATTGTATGTATTGGGGCAGCGGAGTTGCAAGAGTTTGACCCCAATGCCTAGGACTTATTTGTCAAGATCTTAGGACCCAAACCCTAGCCAAATATCATGCCTTAATCATTCACATCATGCCACCCCCTGAAAAGTCCATTCCGCCAAGAAGCACTTTGTCCCCAACTTTGAATCGGATGCTGGGACCTTGGCACATGTTCTGCTGCGAACCGTTGTCCGTGGGTGATATAAAAATCTACAATGCTATATATATATATATATAAGAAGACTAAGAAGGCATAGATTGGGGGTTGCTGCCCCTTTCTAGGAAATTCTGCCACGCGCAAGCTGATGAGGAACAGCCGCACACCACCATAATTTCGTATCAATAGCCTGATCCTCACGGTTATCCTATGTTATCCTTATATTTACAATATCTGTCCTGAGCACAGTCGACACCAAGGAGCTTTGTGTTTCAGGCTGGGTCTTTCGAAGGACTTCGCTTCCGAGTCTGAGGCTGTTCGCATCCTTGCGACAAAATGGAGAAACAGCACGAAGTCATGACCGCCTCTGGTGCTTCCTGCAGCTTGGACCGTTTCACCATGTTTGACCATGTTTGACCATCAAAGCCAAGGATCACCGATGTTGGTATCTGCCAAGGGAACTTCAGCGGTGTCACCTTGTCTTCTCTCAGCATTTTCAGCGTGCAGTGGTAAAGGAAGCTCGGCCAAGACCTCAAAGAGTCACAGCACCCGTGAAAGATCAGTGCTTCCACCGGTTGTGCTGTCGCTACGTGTGAAAATCCGAGTGTAGTAAGACTGTGCCAAAGTTCTGACCCGTGACTAACTTCAGAATCTCCGACACAGTGAATTGATTCAGAGTAAGGTTTCCCATGTTTTGGATTCCACCAGCTGGTTGACAGTTTTTGGTTTGGGATCAAAGCCAACACAAAAAATCGTTACTGCCACATTTGAAAATCCCAAAACACCCAGTGGAACCCTAAACCAACAGACTTGACAACAAACAAAAAAATGATGGTCACGATTATGATGATCATGATGATGATGATCATGATCATCATCATGATGATGATGGTTATGATGATGATTGATGATGATCATGATCATGATGATGATGGTGATGATGATGATCATGATCGTGATCATGATCATGATGATGATCATGATGATGATCACACTCAATCATCGCCATCATGGTCATAGTAATAGAATTCCTCATCACCAGAGGCAGCAACCTTGGTGTGATCGCCCAGTGGCACTCTCCCGCCAGGGTTCATCCTGGATTTTGGCGATCTTCGTGAGGTCAGCACTGGCCATGGTGACTGTAGGGAGGATTCCCATCAAGGGATGACAGGGAGCTCATGTTGTGACACGACATTACTCATTATACCATACTATACGATACGATACGATATCATATCATATGATACAATATCATATTATGTTATGTTGTGTTATATTATGTTGGATTAGATTAACAGTGTCCTATTATATCAAAATATGCTGTATTGTATTACATAAAAGTATATTGTATTATATCATATTAAATCATATCAGGTCAAAATGAAGTACAAAGTAATTTACATTGTGTTCTATTCCATTATTGCACATTATACTGTATTGCAATGTATTGTTTTAACAACATGGTATTAAAGTATACTATAGTATGGTATATTATATTACATTATATTATGTTACATCAGATATCATAGGGCATCATAATACAACTTTGCCATATTACACTGCGCTTTATTATGTAATTTAACGCATTGTTCACATATTTTCATGTTATAGTTTAGTATATTGTATCATATCATACCCTATGCTAAACTAACATGGATGTGGAAGAAAGAAAAAACATTGCAGAGGTTTCAGTTTTTATAGTCCCGGGTATGTGATCTTATTTTATGACACTATACTGCATTATACTATATCATATGAAATGGAAGTGTATTATATGCTGTAAGAACTGATTGGGAAGAAAAGAGAAATATATCCCGTGGGGATGTATTCAAACATCATGCCATCATGCCATCATGGAGATATCACTGTTTCACCAGATATCGGCGGCATCCCTGAACGGCAGGCGCATTGCGCCTCTTCTTGCAGGAAAGATCAATGGCCTGCACTACACCAGCCAGGATGTGAATCTTGGTGATTCTGGCACGGAGATACCTTGGCTAATCTGTAGGGCCAAGGGGGTCAATGACAATCCTGTTCCACCAATTGGTCTATAGGTTTTTAATAGAAAAACCTGGAAGAAATTTGTTGAAGGGCAAATACAAAGTTTCCGGTCCTTCTCTTGAACACAGCTTCCATCAGGATTCAGTGGACTCTAAAAGCGTTACCTTTCTGAGAGTTGCGGCAAGGGGCAAGAATGTTCTGGCAGTTCAATTCTGCTTGCCAGACATAGGATCTTTATCTGACCACCCCCAAACAAGCGGACTGGCAAGACATGGTTCCACCTCACATCATCCAGTGGTTCATACTGTTGGTCGTCAAATACATTGCAAAAATGTTCCACGCAGAAAAAACAGATACGATGACACTTATATAATATATATATAAGACCTAGCTGCGGTTCAGGTAGCTATTAAAATTACTTCGGCACTGAGCGGGATACCTACAAGTCTTTCATCCATAGGCCATAGCCGTAAAGTCGTCACAACCCTCTTCAAGTCCGGACAAGCCTTCCAACTTGCAAAATCTTTTGGACTCCAAAAAAACAATGTTCCATAAATGGAATACACCCCAAGCTTGATCATTTCTCATCATATTCATATTCCCCACTGTTTGATGCACATAATATGGGGATCAATGCCTCCATTTTCAGACAGACCTTTTTTTTGCCTGGCTATCATATGACCAGGGTCATATCCCTGGTCATATCCCTATATCATATTCCAACAAAAGATCTCCCCATCCCGTTGAATCCCCATGTTTAATGATGGTTTCCTCATCCCCACTGGGAAACTCGCTTTCACGGACACCGGGCGGCGCGCTCTGCGTGCGGCTGTGGTAGACCACCGCCTCACCCTCTGCGAAGTATCCCTCGGGGATCGCCTCATCCTGGCGGTTTCGAGGGAACCAGCAGAAACCATGGTTCTTCCTATGAAATGTGGAGAAAATGTGGGAAAATGATGGACAAATCTGGCAAAATAGTGAATATAGTGAGAAATATGGAGAGAATATGGATAAATATGGGGCCCTGTGGATTCTTATCTTCAACCATTCCAATAAGTCTCGGGCATCCAACTCTGTTGGGATCCATTTGTTTCGGCGGGGATCCCGAAAAAAGAAAGGAAAACAAGAGGAACAAAAGGACAATTGTTTCACCCATAAGGGGACGCTAGCAACCCACAACACGGCCCCACTGTACCGCACACCTGGCTTTTGGGCATGCTGAAATGCCTTAGCCAGTGACAGGTTGAGACTGTGTCTGCACATGTTGGAATGAGGACGTAGACTTCGGTTGGTCCACTGCATGATTGAATGAGCTAGAGTATTGCACCACCTAAAATATCCTAAAATAGTGTTCATTCCGAGTTGAAACCAAATCCCCAACATCCCTCCCTTAGCTACCTTAGCTCTCAACCATTTCCAGCAAAATGGCCATGGTCGGCCATGGTGGATGACCCCCAAAAAAATGCTTGGCCGGGATGCACGACATTAGCAGATGCATCTTGCGCGGGCATCACCAGATCCGTGGCAGCCGACAGAGCACAGATCCGACGCGATGGGTTGCGCAGGCCACTGACGCGGCCGATGTTGCTCTGTGACTTGGAGCTTGAAAGACACTAAGAATCTGTTCGTTCCAACATGGTCTGATGCAGTGGGTGGATAATCAAGCCTCTGAGTTCTAATTATGTTTCAATGTTTTTTTTTGAGAAAATCATGTCGATGATGGACCCTCAACTCCACTCCAATAGTAGCCATAGTGAAATAGCACATCTATTTGTAGGACATGGTGACACCGAAGCTGCGGGCAACTGACCGCTTGAGCAATGCCCAGTTGACCCTTGTTGGTTGATGCTCTTGTGGGAACATACTTAGTGGTTCGATCAGGATTCTGACAATCCAAGGGAAATCCTATCCCCCATACACCATCTTCATCGGCCACTTTTTGACGGACGCTTCGAGCACTTTAAAGGGTTTTGCACTTGAGACGCTCAGGAACATGCAAGCAGGCTGACTAAGGAAAAGTATGCCGGCTGCTTTAAAAGTCACATTGAGAAGTTCGCAGGAAGCTGGCTCATCATCCATAGTTCATGCGATTGCCTCATACTGAATCCGCGAGTTAAAACCAAGACAATCTGGGTGTTCTCAGTGTTCCCTCTTCACTCTTGCTTTTCTTATTTATCTATATTTATCTTATGTTCTTTAGCAGTACGATCCAGAACCAGCTTCAAATGACACCGTGGTGAGGCTGCCACACCCTGCCCACTTTGGTCAAAGGGTGCCTGGGAAAATCATGAGCTAAACTCGAGGCCCCATCATGGTGTCGCCGCCGTCGCCTGGTTTTTCACCAAGCAACAGAGTCCCTGCCTTAGGCGCTCGCTGAGGGCAAAGTCCTGGGTGCTGTCCGTTCGTCCTTGATCACCTGCGCCAAGGTGGAGACAGTCAAAATTGTCACCACTGACATGGCACACTGTCAGCTCCCTGTTGATGAGTTAAGAGGGTTGCCCAAACAAATGCCATGTTCTTCCATTCAAGTTGGAACCTCCCATGTTGGTAAACTGGAGGTTTAATTAATCCTGGGTTGACAATAATCATTTCAAATGCTGGTGTTGATGGTGATCTTTCTTCTGCGAGAGTGACAAAGTACTGCTCTTGCTTCAGGTCAGCATCACCAACAGTTGAGCCACCAAAACCCAAAAGCAACCATTTTGGAGATGAAACCCACAGAAACTAACAAATCTTTCACTGGTTGTGTGTTCCAACCCACCCCAAAAACACTGTTCAACCGTGGTTCGCATTCCAAATACGGATGGAAATGTCGCTGTATTGAAATCGCTGACCAAATCGTGTCAAACCCATAGAAATTACCCCCATCTCTGCCGTCCACAAACGCAAAACGTCCAGTCTGCGCCAATTTTGCTGCATCCAATTCTCAGCTAGGCTATCCCAGTATTGTTCATTGGCACCTCAGCAAAGTTGATCGCATGTGGAGCAACATGGAGCAATAGAAATGATGGTTCTGGGACACATCCACAATGTAAGCATGATCGGTGCTCAACAGGCTTTGTTGCTATGCATGACACGTTTTGTGAAGTCCTGTGAGCAGTGATTGTGGTCCAACCGTGGCATGGGCACCCCGTGACCACGGAACCACAAAAAAAACCATCGGATGCAAATTCCTTTCCCTTGGTTGGGGAAGAGCGACAATTTTTACCTATTTCTCTCACATAAATCTTGACTCTACAATTTTGCTGCAGCTCAGTGCTGCTTCGCTTGCAGAAAAGTTCAACACTCAATATGGACATGTTGTGAACATCCTTCACTTCAAGGAAGTGTCAAACGGAAATGGAAACCGCATGCGAAAGCGTTCCCGATTTGGATCCACCTTTTCCGTCCCCATTTTTTAAAATGCATCCTTGAGGCATTCAAGCGAACGCGAGAGTCTCAGTCCAGTCTCACATCTTCCTGGCCAGTCCAACTCCAGGTTTACCGATGAGAAAAATATCAGTTGCATTTGCCTGAAAACACAATAGCCAGGAGAAACATGGATGATTATCAGGTTCCCATTAAAATGACTATGCATTGGGAAAATTGGCTATACTTTACTTTCAGCTGATATTGTGACACCAATCGCATTGGAAACGTCGGCCTGGTCGATGGGGCATCGAGGCCGATTTCGAGATTCGCGGAGCCAACGGTCAATGCATTCGCTGTGAAACACGTGCCTCAGTGGCCATTCTTCGCAAGCGCAAGTCTCAGAAATTTTGTCTTGGCATCTTGATGTCATTAGTACTATATAATTTCTTCAAAAATGACGGTTACCCCCAATATGGTCATTTTGATGGGAAAAATGATATATAATCAACCATCAGATTTGTTCACTCAATTCTCATGCAAACCCATTTGAAATCAATACCCCAAAGGTCACAGCTCTCTGGCTCTCAAGAAAGGAAACAACAACAACAACAACAACAACAACCAACAACAACAACAACAACCAACAAACAACCAACAACAACAACCAACAACCAACAACCAACAACCAACAACCAACAACCAACAACCAACAACCAACAACCAACAACAACAACAACAACAACCAACAACCAACAACCAACAACCAACAACCAACAACCAACAACCAACAACCAACAACCAACAACCAACAACCAACAACCAACAACCAACAACCACAATCAACAACAACAACAACAACAACACCAACAACCAACAACCAACAACCAACAACCAACAACCAACAACCAACAACCAACAACCAACAACCAACAACCAACAACCAACAACCAACAACCAACAACCACCAACCACCAACCAACAACCACCAACCACCAACCACCAACCACCAACCACCAACCACCAACCACCAACCACCAACCACCAACCACCAACCACCAACCACCAACCACCAACCAACAACCAACAACCAACAACCAACAACCAACAACCAACAACCAACAACCAACAACCAACAACCAACAACCACAACCAACAACCACAACCAACAACAACAACAACAACAACCGACAACCAACAACCAACAACCAACAACCAACAACCAACAACCAACAACCAACAACCAACAACCAACAACCAACAACCAACAACCAACAACAAACAACAAACAACAAACAACAAACAACAAACACACAACAAACAACAAACAAACAACAAACAACAAACAACAAAAACAACAACAACAACAACAACAACAACAACAACAACAACAACAACAACAACCAACAACCAACAACCAAAAACACCAACAACAACAACAACAACAACAACAACAACAACAACAACAACAACAACAACAACAACAACAACACAAACAACAACACCAACAACAACAAACACAACAACAAACAACAAACAACAAACCACACACCACAAACCAACAAACACAAACAACAAACAACAAACAACAACAACAAAACAAACACAAACACAAAACAACAAACACAACAACAACCAACAAACAACAAACACCAAGAACAAACAACCACAACAACAACAAACAACAACAACAAACCACCAACAACAAACAACAACAACAAACAACAAACAACAACACAAACAAACATCAACCACCACCACAACCATCAACCACAACCGCAACCACAACCACGAACCAGCACCAGCACGATCACCCATCAAGCCAGCAACCACACAACTAACAACAACACACAACAATACAAACTGAATAAAAAACAAACTTACTACATCACTAACCACAAGAATACAACAAACGATAACAAACAGCAACAAACAACAACAAGCAACAACAACAAACAACAACAACAACAACCAACAACCAACAACCAACAACCAACAACCAACAACCAACAACCAACAACCAAACAAACAACAAACAACAAACAACAAACAACAAACAACAAACAACAAACAACAAACAACAAACAACAAACAACAAACAACGAACAACGAACAACGAACAACGAACAACAAACAACAAACAACAAACAACAAACAACAAACAACAAACAACCAACAACAACAACAACAAACAACAAAAAAAACAAACCACAAACAACAAACAACAAACAAAACAAACAACAAACAAAACAAACAAAACAAACAAAACAAACAACAAGCAACAAGCAACAAGCAACAAGCAACAAGCAACAAACAACAAACAACAAACAACAAACAACAAACAACAAACAACAAACAACAAACAACAAACAACAACAACAACAACAACCACAACCAACAACAACAACAACAAACAACAAAAAAACAAACCACAAACAACAAACAACAAACAAAACAAACAACAAACAAAACAAACAAAACAAACAAAACAAACAACAAGCAAGAAGCAACAAACAACAAACAACAAACAACAAACAACAAGCAACAAGCAACAAGCAACAAACAACAAACAACAAACAACAAACAACAACCAACAACCAACAACCAACAACCAACAACATCAACAACAACAACAACCAACAACCAACAACCAACAACCAACAACAACAACAACAACATCCAACAACATCCAACAACATCCAACAACATCCAACAACATCCAACAACCAACAACCAACAACCAACAACAACAACAACAACAGCCAACAACCAACAACCAACAACCAACAACCAACAACAACAACAACAACCACAACCAACAACCAACAACCAACAACCAACAACCAACAAACAACAAACAACAAACAACAAACAACAAACAACAAACAACAAACAACAAACAACAAACAACAAACAACAAACAACAAACAAAAAACAACAAACAACAAACAACAAACAACAAACAACAAACAACAAACAACAAACAACAAACAACAAACAACAAACAACAAACAACAAACAACAAACAACAAAAACAACAACAACAACAAACAACAAACAACAAACAACAAACAACAAACAACAAACAACAAACAACAAACAACAAACAACAAACAACAAACAACAAACAACAAACAAAAACAACAACAACAACAACAACAAC